ACTTCTTTGTCTGTTCAGTCCCTTAATGGATTGAATAGTGCCGCAGCACATAAGTGAGAGTGATCTTTATTCATGCTGCCAATTTAAATGCTATTCTCCTCTGGAAACACCCTGATGTGCACACTCAGAAAAATGTCTTACCAGTTTTCCAGACATCCCTTAGCCCAGCCAGCTTGAAACATAAATTTAAAGATCACACATGATGGGGCTGGAGAGATGGCTCAGTGGTTAAGGGCACTGACCGCTCTTGCAGAGGACCAGTGTTCGATTCCCAGCACCCACATGGCAGTTAGCAACTGTCCAAAACTCCAGTTCCAGGGGATCGGATGCCCTCTTCTGACCTCTGTGAGCACTGCATGACATGGGTGCATGTAGGCAATATACTTACACATTTTTAAAAAATCACACGCGATAATAGACAGGGAGTGCAATATAGATTATAAAGAAGTACAAAGAAATTTTGAGGGATTAAAAATATTTGATTATGGGGGCTGGAGAGATGGCTCAGTGGTTAAGAGCACCCTCTTCTAGCTTCTTCAGGCACCTGTACTCACATGCACATAACCATACACAAAAACACATACAGATACATAATTAAAAATAAAAAAGAGGAGCTGGGCATGGTGGCACACATTCTTAATCCCAGCACTCGAAAGGCAGAGGCAGGCAGATCTGTGAGATTGAGGCCAGCCAGGTCTACATAGCGAGTTCCAGGCCAGCTTTGTCTACAGAGAAACCCTGTCTCAAAAAGACCCCCCCCCAAAAAAAATAATAAAAAGAAAATTTTAGGGATTAAGAATTTTTGATTGCCAGGTGTGGTGGTGCATGCCTTTAATCCCAGCTCTCAGGAGCAGAGGCAGGAGTATCTCTGTGAGTTCAAGGCCAGCCTGGTCTACATAGTGAGTTCCAGGACAGCTGGGGCTACAGGAAGATCCTGTCTCAAAAAGACCAAAAAAAAAAGTTTGATTATGGGGGCTGGAGAGATAACTCAGTGTTTAAGAATCCTCGCAGAGGACCTGGATTCAGTTCCCACATCAGTTGGTTCACAACCACCTGTAACTACAGTACCAGGGAATCCAGTGCCCTCTGGCCTCCTCAGCAGGCACCTGCATACACATTGTGCACATAAAATCATGCAGGCATGCACACACACACACAAATAAAAAAATAAAAGAATATTTGATTATGGGCTGGCAAGGTAGCTCAGCAGGTAAAGGCACTTACTATGCAAGCCTGGGAAACTTAGTTTGATCCCCAACCCACATACTTGGAAGGAAAGAACCATCTCCACAGTTATCCTCTGACAATCAGATGTGTCCTGGCATACACACCCATAAGCACACATCTTGCACATACACACAATAAATTTTTATTTTAATTTTTATTGAATTTTTGTGTATTTCATACAGAAAATCATCTTTATACACCCTTCCCCCTTCTCTTTGGCACCCTCCCATAGCCCCCCCTCCACCAGAGTTCATACATTCTATCATTTGTGTTAAGGCCTATTTGTAAAGTTTGTCCCCAGATGTCCCTCAGTGCTAGTTCATCCACCTGGGTTTAGTCAGCCTATCTAGAGTCTCTCCCTCCAAGAAGATCAGCTCTTCCTCACTCAGCAGTAATCAGCTGCCACTAATTCTTCGACTAAGATTGGGGCCAGCTGTTCATTCCCACAATTCTATGCTGGGTTTTTGTCTGCCTAAGTTTACATGGGTCTTGTGACAAGAATTTTTTAAAAGAATTCTTGATTATGACAATTGTTTTATGTTAATACATATCTAACAACTCATTAAATTGTACAGTTTAGGTATGTGCAGTTTGGTGGCCATCAATCACCCCTCAGTAAATTTGAAAATACATGTAAAAAAGGTCCACGCAGAACATTATGATTTGGATATAAAATGTTGCCCTAAGGTTCATGTTTTAGAGGCTTGGCGCTCAGCTGAGGTGATCAATTTAGGCCATGAAGGCTCTGACCTAATCAATGGATTAATCCACTGATCGGTTTATAATTTGACAGTGTTATTGGGAGGTGAGATGACCTCTCAGAAGAAGGCCCTAGTAGAAAGGAGGAGGTCACCAGGAGTATGTCCTTCAGGGCCGTATCTTGTCCTCCACCCTTGCCATACTCTCTGCTTCCTGGCCACTATGAGATGAACAGCCATATCCTTCCGATATCATATTTGCCTCAGGACATAAGCAATGGAGGCAGCCAATCATGGACTGAAGTCACTGAAATTCTGAGCCAAAATAAATCTTCAAAGCCGTTTCTCTCAGGTATTTGGTCACAGTAATACAGTGCTAATACACAGTATTAACCCTGGTTTCAAATGCCTAGAATAAAGTATATTGGGATGTGTGCTGGATAGTTTTAGTGTCAATTTGACACACCTGGGTTGAGGGAGTCTCAATTGAATTGTTTCCATTGTACTGGCCTGTGGCCATGTCTGTGGGGCAGCTTCTTGATTGTTGAGTGATGTGGGAGGGCCCAGCCCACTGTGGGTGGTGCCACCATAGGCAGGTGGGCCTATGTTGTATAAGAAAGCAGGCTGAGCAGGGACCAGGGGAGCATGCCGGTAAGCAGCCTTCCTTCATGGCCTGTGCTTCAGCTCCTGCCTCCAGGTTCCAGCCAAGTTCCTACCTTGAGCTCCCTGGTGAACTGTGACCCGGAAGATGTAAGCTGAATAAACCTTTTCCTCCCCAAGTTGGTATTGGTCAGAGTATGTTGTTACAGCAATGGAGAAACAAACTAGAACAGGATGCTCAGAGTTAGCTGCTTCAAAAAGAAGGGGAGGAATTGTTACACTAGAGTGGTCCACCCATAACCCTTGGCTTTTTACTGTGGAAAACTTTACATGACTTGATTGGCCTTTAAACTATTAACCAGAAAACATTTTTTTTTTTTCCAGACAGGGTCTCCTGACCTGGGACTCACTATACAGACCAGGCTGGCCTCTAACTCACAGAGATTCACCTGCCTCTGCCTCCCAAGTGCTAGGATTAAAAAACAGGTTCTTTTCTGATTTTTTTTTTTTTTTTTGGTTTTGGTTTTTGCTTCTTGTAATTCTTGCCACTATATTGTGAAATGAAAACTATTAAGATTCTAATTATTCTCTTCCTATATTACTTTTCCAAGATATATTTTTTATATGTGTTTTGCCACATGTGGGTTTGTGCACCATGTATATTCAGTGCCTACAGAGGCCAAAAGAGGACATCAGATCCCATGGAACTGGAGTTACAGATGGTTATAAGCTGCCATGTCGGTGCTGGAAACTGAACTAAGGTCCTTTGCAAGAGCTCCAGCCCCTTCCTATACTCTTTAGAATTCTGTATTTCTGGAAACTGGTACTACATGCCATAAGCAACACAAACTTTATGTAAAAATTTACATAGTATGGAACTTTTTTATTTAGGATAAACAATTCCATACACCACTGGGAGAATACCACTGTGTTCTGTAATACATCCTACCACTGTATTCTGTAATATATACATGCAGGCAAAACATTCATACACATAACATTAAAAAATAAAATAAGCCTGGCATGGTGGCACATGCCTTTAATCCCAGCACTCGGGAGGCAGAGGCAGGCGGATCTCTGTGAGTTCAAGGCCAGCCTGGTCTACATAGTGAGTTCCAGGACAGCTAGAGCTACAGGGAGAACCTGTCTCAAAAAAAAACCAACAATAAATAAATAAAAATAATAAAATAAAAACAATTCCAGAGTAAAGCAAGGTGGCACAGGCCTGTAATCCCAGCATTTGGAAAATAAAATCAAGAGGATTAGGAAGGGGGCTGAAGAGTTGGCTCAGCAGTTAGGAGCACTGGCTGCTCTTGCAGAGGACTCAGCTTCAATTCCCAGCACCCACATGGTGGCTAACAACCTTCTGTAACCCCAGTTCCAGGGGAATCCAGTGCCCTCTTCTGACCTCTGTGGGCACTGCATGACATAGGTGCACCTACATACATGCAGGCAATACACTTATACTTAAGAAATAAAAATAATAAAAATATCTTAAAAGGATTAGGAGGATCAAGTGTTCAAAGCCAACCTGGGTGAGATGCTGTCTCAAAAAAATTTTAAAAATCTTTAATTCAGCTATCTGAAAATTCATAAACGAAGCACTCATTTGGTGCTAGTTCTACTAATTATTGAAATAATGGTTCACAAATCTTGTCAATTATTTGGTATCACACTGAGCAGAACTTTTTCTGGTGTTGGGGATGGAATATTTATACATGCTAGACAAGAGCACTACTATTGAAATACATCCCCAGCCCAGGACTTTGGGAACCCCAAGTCTAGAATGTCACTATGCTAAAATATGGGCAATGGAATATCAATGTAAAATATAATCACTTCTCTGGGCATGGTGGCACACGCCTTTAATCCCAGCACTTACCAGGCAGAGGCAGGTAGATCTCTGAGTTTGAGGCCAGCCTGGTCTCAATAGCGAGTTCCAGGCCAGCTGGGGCTACAGGGAGACCCTGTCTCAAAAAGATAAAAAATAAAATAAAAATATAATCACTTCAGTAATACCTTTTTTCTACTTGTCTAACTTCAATTTTTCCTGGTGTATACTCATTGAACCTAGTAATGGGTTCATAGACATTTTCATTCATTTCCATTTGCTATGCTCTCCCTCAATAACATTCTTGCACTTAGTCTTGAATGATTCTTGACCTTTCTTTTCTATAGCATTTCCTTTCTTTAAAAAAAAAAAAAAAAAGTTAGTATTTTTATGTGTATGCATGCATTGCCTGCATGTAGGTAAGTGCACCCATGTCATGCAATGCCCACAGAGGAGAGAAGAGGCTCCTGAATCCCCTGGAACTGGAGCTATGGATAGTTGTTAGCTGCCATGTGGGTTCTGGGATTCAAACCAGGGTCTTCTGCAAGAACAGCCAGTGTTCCCAACTGCTGAGCCATCTCTCTAGCCCCCCACATGGTCCTTTCTTAAATAGCATTTCAAGTCAATACCAAGTGCAAGCAATAAAATGAGTAATAGTTTATTCATGAGTAAATGTTGGGCAGCCCACATATTCAGATTTCAACTGTGAATTGAGATTTATCAGTTTTTAACATGGGTTGATAAAGCCCTCTGTCATTGAGATCATGGGATTTGAAACAATACTGCCTCTGGAATCAATTACCCCCATCTTCAAATCTTGCAAACTCTGCACTCCACAAAGCCACTTATTTGTACATCAAATTCTTGTGTACAGTATTGGGTGGGAATTATATCTTATGTAGGAGACACATCCCAACTATCATCCAGTACAAGACTTTATTAAGTGATTGTTGCATGCACAGCACTTGAGAGTCTATTAAAACACACATGAAAACTTTAACATAACTGCATTGTAGGAAACTTGTCAGGCCACACCAGTAAGCAGGAAATTCATAAGCCATGTCAATGGTTAACATTTTATGTGCTTCTAGGAGAATTTCTGAGAATGTGAAGTCAGGGTTTTATAAGACGAATTATTCAATAGTTATCTGAGGAAAGCTATCTTACTAATATATACTTACTTGATATTTCAGGGAAGGAATAACATTCAACTGTCAACTATAGATTCCTCTGAATTTAAAATCAGTTTGATTTTTGATAGTTGAGATTTTGAGATTTTTGCCTTAAAAATTATGTAAACAACTATACAGTTTCTTTTGCTAAAAGAAGCAATGTGTAACTCCTAAGTTAACAGCAAGACTTATGAACATTAATGTTTTGGACATTTCTTGAATATGATAGAAATGTTAATAATTTCAGTTTAAAATATGGCCAAAAAATTTCATGAAACCTTTACACATGGAGACTTAAGCGGTCAGCACCTCTGTTTGATTTTGTTACACCAGTCACCCAGTATGAATAATCTAAGAAAATCAAGTTTTAGATGCTCTGCAAGGTAATTTTTATTTGTGAAGCCTCTATAAATTGATAGGCAATGCCACCTTGTCCTTGAAT